GCCAGAAAGAACATTGCACCTATTTGTGGCAATTCTTTAGCACCACCATCCGCCAATTCGAATGCGCGCCCAAGCTGTTTGTTTTAAATTGCTCATCAGTTCAAACCAGGCGGCCATCTTTAACAATGGGGTTTGGTGAAAACAGGTAATCGATAGTCCAGATCCAGCCAAAACGTGTTCATCATTTAACAGTAATCAATAACCGGTAATCCACGGTCCCTACTTTTCACAAACATGTCAACGGTTTGGCACAGGGAGACGTGACACGACGCAGAGTAGAGAAGCAAAATGCCTTGGCACTTCGCCCTCAACTACACCTCTGCCTACCTACACACCACAAAGCGTTTGTGCATGTTTTTTTGAAAATGAATATACAAAAATCCGCGTTTTTTGACGACTGCGCACTCATTTTACTGCAACCAAAAGCGGCTAGGTTGGGCCACCTCAATTACATTGTTTTTTTTTCGAGCCGCACATGAAACAAGTACGCAATTCGTAAACTAACTTTTGTGCCAATCAGATCTCTATAATTCGGATAATTTAATTGGTTTAAAAAAAAACCTTTTTTTACACATTGCAAGCATTATCTTCCATTTTCCTTTAGTTTTTAACTTTCAGTGCGTCATTTTGGCGTGGTGTTCAATTCGGCACAGGACACCCTTAAATGTTGTTCATTTTAATAAAACATGGGTAGAATCTAGTGTGGTACCCGTCGTGAATAATGTCTTAGAAGTAGGTCGTCAAATTTATCTACCCAACGTGCGGATTCGAGGATACTGAAAGAAATCGTCATTTTTAATTAGCCAATAGTAATTCACTAAGACCCAATTAAAACAAAGAATTGAACGATTTGCTTTAAAGTATTCTTGGTGCTTTAGGAGTTCCCATCGATATTGGGTGAGTTTAAACATTCAATAAAACTGATTATTGCGAACATATATTTTGCATGAAAACCAGGGCTTTAATTAAGACAACCAGGTGATCACCTGGTTTAGAAGTGTTAGATGTTTGTGGGGGTCACCTGAAGTATCCTTTTTTAACACAGACGGACGTCGATAGAGTTGCCGAGGTTTTGAAAAGTCCTCGCTTAGAGTATTCCGCGCTGAGTCGCCAATACCATAATTTGTGGACTGTCCACGTGTGTTGAACAAGGAATTACGATCGCTGCAACTCTCTTTTGAAATAAAAATGGCGCGATAACAACAGTAGAGGCAAATCCACTTTGTCTGTCATTTAACAGGAACGCAATTAGCTCAGTTGATACATGTCATTTGAACTAATTATACTTCGACATATGCAGACACACATTTATTCCTTCCTTCAAGGCCTAATTTGGACAACGGTTCGTGATACAAAACGTTCCTTTTTTAAAAAAAGAATTGTTTAAATGAGCCACAAACAGCCGTCAACATTGCGATTAGTTATTTTTAACTTTAAGACCATTTGTGAGGTCACGAGGCATCGCTTTAAATATGTTCTTTCACAACCAACAAATTAATCCATCAACTACAGATGTCACCGTCATTTTAAGGCAAAATTCGCAAAGTAAGAAAATGTTCTTTGTGAAACTTGGGACTCAAAGATACGTGGATGATGTTTTAGTTTTAAGATTCCATAAACGTGAAATCCTTCATTACTGGTTTTAGTAGACACTTGCCTTTTCGTGGAAATTATGGGGGATTACAACTAAAACTCCACGTTTTATGACTGGCGGTTTATCGGTTCTCGACAATCAAGCACCATTGAAATTCCATTTTTGAATTAAATGCTGGTGTGAGTGATTACAGGAAGTGATTGTTTTTTTCAAATTTTGTTTAAATTGGTCAGCATTAAAAATTTTGACACTGACATGTCTTTAAATTTGTCTCGTTATCTTGTGAGTTGCCCTTTTTCAAATCGTAATATGGCGCACATTTTAAATTAGCCAATGGTAATTCACTAAGACCCAATTAAAACAAAGAATTGAACGATTTGCTTTAAAGTATTCTTGGTGCTTTAGGAGTTCCCATCGATATTAGGTGAGTTTAAACATTCAATAAAACTGATTATTGCGAACATATATTTTGCATGAAAACCACGGCTTTAATTAAGACAACCAAATGCTTTAACGCCCAGGTTATAAAACAGAAGCGATAGAATAATTATCAATGAACTCAGACGCGTAAAATTCTATTCAAGCCGTAATGCTAAATGAAATGTTTGTTAATCCAAGTCCATACAAATTCACTCATATTATTGATGTGATTATTGTTACCAAGGGCAACCAGCGGCTCGTAATCAGCGTTTTTTAAATTTGATCAAACCACATTTTCAAAAAATTGTATTCCTTAACAACTGGCAGCAAAAGGAGTGCTGAAGTCTTTGTTTTTGTACAAATTAATAGTTCTTACGTATGCCCGCATTTTGACACAAAACTAATTTATTCAAATGAACCAGTAGAAATGTAGTAATGAGCATCCGCCAATCCCGTGCTCACGAACTGAAGTGTGTGTGTGAAATTGCGATGATCCTGCATCGATTATTCTCGCAAGTTTTAGTAAAGAAGATTGGAGAGAGAAAACTTGACCTGTGCGTGTCCTCTACGCATAACAAACAATCAAGCCTGAACGTGATTTTTCAAAGAAATAAATTTTGAGGTCACTATGCCATGCTGAATTAAAACAAAATTTATGAAAAACGATTTATTCCGTGTACCTTTAACCCCTGCCATGGAATTGACAAATTAGAGACTGCGTAAATGTGCTAGGTGGATGCACTAGGTTACAATTGTTTTCTGGCAAAAATTAGTTAATTATTCTACTCTTGTACCTTTTTACCTGGCATCAAACTGTAACGAAAATGTTATGGCGTAGTACTAAAGAATAGTAACACGACTCCATGGCGTTAGCGGGAATTGGGTCAGATTAGACGGTGGAACTTTTCGCCTCAATTAAACAAAATTTAAACGATTTAAAGGTGCAAGAAACTTTTGCAAGTCCCTGTAAGTGAGTAAAGTCGTGTTACACCCTTAGAGATTAGGCTTTTAATGCAATTTTTAGTGTGTTTGTGTGAGTGGTTTTTTTTCGTAAGAGAAGTGACTTGATGATTTGGTTATTTGGCAAATAATTTTCCCATGTTCGCTTGCTACTTTTTTAAACAACAATGAAATTACATTCAACTTAAACCAAGCACATTTGCGCTGGTCTTTTAATGCGGTGGTTTGAAGGTCGTAAGCTGACATCTCTTCTGGTTGCGGATTATTTAATTTAAAACTGCGCACTTCTATTATAATACTAACAAAACAACGTGGAAGCTAATGCACTGGAAGCAAATTTTGATCTTTTTGATGTCTCATCTAATGCAGCCATTTTCAAAAATACTCATCTCATTGGATAACTTCCAAAATGAAATCCGTTAGCAAATAAAAATGTTTTTTTAACGGAGAAAAAGACTCTGGCACGAGCCCATATCAAAAACTGCAAAAATATGTGTTTAAAACAAATAATTTCAAAAATTACTTTAATAAAAAATCACAAAAGTAAAACCGCCTTACTCTCATTGGCCCGAGGTGGATCAATCTTGGATTGGCAGGTGTGTGCAAGCACGACAATCGTTAGCGCCATTCCATAAGCACCAATCATTGTCGTAGACTTGTCACAATTTTTAATGTTTTCCCATTTTTTTTTTCACAAAAATTGGTCGAAATGCCTCAGCTAAGCATCCGGGGCGTGATCGCGGGGACACGCTGGCACAAAACTGGCTCGTCATGCCTTCGCGTGCACGCGTCATGTGACGCCGATTTCTGATTGGCTCATTGCAGAGGCGCGCTTCTTAAACCGCCCGGAGGGATCGCCGTTACTAGACCGGACAAACCGAAGACATATTTATGAGTTCACGTCAGTACTGGCGCCTTTTGTGCAGCATTGGTTCGGTGTTTTACCTACCGGTTGTACTTTTAAACCAATCACCAACAGTTTTTCTAACACTGGTGCGAAATTACATTGTGAAATCGTTTTAATGGAGTCGCAACTAAAACCTATAGAAACAGGACTGCCTTTGACATTCCTTTAAATAAAAAAGCCCATATATTTGCACCGAATCGATCGTGACTTTGCAGACAATTGGTGGTAGAGAATGCGAATTCGAACAGGTTTAAGTCAAATTGTGATTGGTTCGTGTTTACCACATAAGTCTCTGATCTCTGCTCAAAGGTTTATGTGTAAATACACCCCTACCAAGGCACACGAAATAACTAGCCAATTAGAAATTAATGTGCTCATTTGGTCCTGAAGCAATCTCATCATATTACGTGTTCACTGGTTTAAAAATTGCACAAAGAATTCGATTTGGTAGCCATAGAAGATGGATAGGAGCACTGGACGAAAAACACGGCCTCCGAAATTGGTGTGAGTAGTAGATTAAAATTGTGCGAATTTCTTTGCATGCATTTACTTAGGAACACGAACAACTTAAGGATGCGTGGGCATTGACGTGACGATACGAGACAAGATTAATTTGGCTAAGGATTTCCGACTAACTGCGACGTTCACGGGAAAGAAGACAACCTCTCGCATTTGCAGTCTTAAAGCTAACTTGGTTGTTGGATGAGCCGCCTTGATTGGCTGTGAACTTTGATTGATGAGAAGTTGGAAGACGTGTCAATCAGAGATGTGTTCGCCGCTGTTATTCACAAAATTCTTCCATCGCTTAACCAACTCGCTATGTGATTCGCTAAATGACACGTTCTAGTGACGGCAACCGTCGATATATCCACAATTGAGGAATGTCACGAGACGCGTCTGGTGTTGAGAGACTGACGAGAGGGATGGTGGCAAGCCGATTGGGGTTGCGGAAGCATGGAGGATGCATTGCGACCCTTCTAAAGAGCCTGAGATCGCTCACGTGGCTCCCAGTCACTTGTGGCCAGCGATGTTGCCTGACATGTGTTGGGTAATTTCGGTCAGGCGGTGGTGGTAGATTACTTGATGAGTTGACACCACGTGTAAGGCATTTCAAGGTGGATGCCGTCGCCGCAGTCCCACCACACGAAGCTTATCGTCCGCCGACGACGACCATCTTGTTCGAATGGTCTCTTTGCTTGTCTGCTGCAGCTCACTCACTCCCTTCGGTTCTCCAGATCTTCGACAAGACGCCACATGTCGTCACAAATGGTAGCGCGAGAAAGCGACCCGGTTTGAGTCGGGAACGTAAGCTTGCGTGTTCAGAACCGCCGCGTTCACATTGTTTGCATTCTATCAATCGTCAGTTGTGGAAAATTAGTTTGTGGGAGGACGCAATTAAGTCAGTCAGCGAGACACAACGTTAGTACGTTTTGCGCCATCTGATTTGGTCAAACAATTCGGTGTTGTTTGCTTGTGACTGACAGTTTCTGTCTGTGTATCGAACGGGTGGTTAGAGAAGCTACATTCGATGGTGTGGCATATCGACTGACTTCTAAACACGGTGGTGGCTGGGATCTAGCACTACCCCACAACCCTCAAGTGAACAGCCCGAAACAAACCAAGAAGAGTGGAAAAAGAGGTGACAGAGGGCTCGATCGTCTTTTAGCATCGTGCCAGCCATGGGTGCTTCTTAGTGTGTGGATGAGTGAGCGGATGTCGGGCTTCTGATAACAGCAACCAATGAAAAGAGGATGAGTTATTGTCAGTATCACGTCAGTAAACGGGGTTCACTGAGGCTCGATCTCTGTTAATCCGCCATAAATATTTTCCCAGAGAATGTTTGCTGTGAAGCAGTACACGCTGGGAAATTATCGAACAGAATCAGCAAAACGAACAACGTGTCTCAGGGGTCGGCCAAAACGGGATGCTGGGCGGGGTGGGGATACGAGAGATAGCCGAGTGAGTTCGTCGTTGCCTGAGCATATGGAAGGAACATTGGTGTCTTCCGTATAAGCAGCTTTGAGACGGTCTTCGCTCGCAATATCCAGCAAACCATTTTTGTCAATTACGAATAATTTATCGGCACGTTCTACCACCGTAAAGGGGCCACCGTAGGGTGGTTGCAAGGGTTTTTTAACATCATCAAGGCGGACAAATGCATAAGAGGAAGTAGGCAAACTTGGTGGGATCCGTGCTTGTCGTGGGGACATTCTTGTCGGAATTGGTCGAATTTCCTTTATGGAGTACTTTAATTTATCGACATAAGATGAAGATGGGAATTCAATGGTGTTGTTAGAGTTGGTGACCATTTCCCCAGGCAGACGCAAACTTGTACCTAGTACATGTTCTGCTGGCGTGGAGTCAATATCTCCCTTCAACACGAGTGCTGTTTCATGTGGCTCGATTAGGTGAGTGACAAGAATGAAAAGAGAATGGACATGGGCATTTGTGAGGTGGGGATCGCACATTGCATCGTTCATGTGCATAAAAGCATGCTGCCATCAGCCACGCACAAAACGTGGTCATGTTGAGACAATACGAGGAGGGTGGACGTGGCTGTCGAGCGACGGTTTCGGTCTTTTGTGTTGAGTGCGTTGATTGGCTGCATGACAGATATTCGAGCTGTCAACTACAACAACAACGCATCACTAAAAGCCTTCAATTGTGCTCTAACTGATCTCAGACCTGCTGCCTCGTGAAGGCACAAGACGGGGGATTGGGTGGTGTGCACAGTTGTATCAGATACCGTGTGGCATGACAATTTGAAGCGAAACGCCTGAAGCAGAGTAACTGAGTTAGAAGTTACATGATGCATGTTGACAGCCAAATGTCCTCCGTGTGCTAGCGTGTGTGTGTGTGTGTGTAATGTTGGCAGTGGCGACAACAGAGCCGACCGGGCGCCGGCTACAGCGTCTACGGTCTGTGCGAGACGCAGAGCTCCGCGGAGTTCTGGCTGTTCGCTCCGCTGATCGCGCTGGGTCGTGCCGAGAGCGTGCACGTGCAGATCAACTTCATGATGCGGAGCTGCGAGGACCACGAGGTGGCCGACTCTCGTAACGGCAGTTGCAGGGAGAGCTTCGACGTGTTTCTGCAGCAGGAGGCGCTGCACGCCGACATGGACGACGCCGCCGTGCCCAAGACGCAGGTGAGTGCATTCGCCAGTCGATCTTGCTTGGAGTGGTTAGATTAGCGATGAAATGGAACTCTGAGACGCGTATCAGTGGAAGCTTGTCTTGGCAGTTTTGCATTGACCTGATTGGTCTCTGTTAGTCACCCTAGTCACCCTTACTGCGTACAGTTCTCTTAGTTCACGAGGCCTGTGTGAGATGGCGTGTCAACACGGACCAATAAAATCTGAGTACGAGTCACAAGTACCAGTCTGCGTGCGGTCAAGCTGTCCGAACAAGCATCTACCCATTCACGTCAGCTGACGGTCCACAACGCATTCACAGACGCGCCTGCTTTGCTTAGTGGATTCCGCTTTGTGTACTTTCACCAATTCACCCAGACTGTGTCGTTCAACAACCTCGTTTAGTCAGACGGGGGTGCGTAGGACAGAAATAGTTTTGGGTACCTTAGAACCGGTTTTGTACGCATTTCCTGCAACCGCGGATATTTCATTATTCCTCACTGCCTTTTGGTGTCGCACGAACACAATCGAATTTCATTGTGATGAATTTTGTCAGCTCAAGAAATCGTTAGCACCAAAATTAAATCTGATGTTTCATTTGTTTCCCATGAAACACGGGAATCTGTGTATTAACGTTCATCATTTCTATCTATAATGCATAAAATTCATCTGCCTCTATTACAATCGATAGTCGTTCAACTAAGTGTTGACGATGATCGTGCGAAATCCTTAGTGTGTGGAATTAATCTGGCATCACTGACAGTCACTTCCGTACGCGAAAGATATTGAGATAGTCTACTAAATCTTCCCTGTTTTGAAGTCTTTCAAGAAACTCGCCACCATTTCCTCCGACCGCAAGTGGAGTTCAAAGCATCCGACCGACGAAGGCACCGTCACCAGTTGGCTCATCCGCTTTCGACCAATAAGAAGTGCGTCCAGTGGTTCAATCTACTCTTGATTGAAATTGAAATCGATGATTCCTCAACTAATTGTTAAAGATGATCATGCAAAGTCCTTAGTTTGTGGAACTAATATTGG